TAAAAAAATAAATAAATTAGGAGAAAAAAGGGGTAATGTAACTGACATGTATTCGTCATCTTTCACATTCAAGAGTGAAATAAGTACTGCTTGAAGTTAAAAAATTGAGAAATGGAAGGATAAGCATATAGTTTGGATTTATGTCACAGCGAGGTAGGAAAAAATAAGTTTTAGTGGTCTACAGCAGTGTTGAACATCTATACTTACCAGTAATTTATTGTATGTTCTCAATTGGCTAGAAGAGAGGAGCTCAAATGCTCTCATCACAAAGAAATATTTTTGTGATGATGAATATGCTAATTACCCTGATTTGATCATCACACATTGTATAAATGTATTGAAATATAACTCTGTACCCCATAAATATGTACAATCAGTATGTGTCAACTAATTACAAGTAAATAAATAAATAAAATATATGATCTCCATCATTATGATACAATAATTCCCTCAATAGCTATCTACTAAGTTTCTGTTTTATGGCAGTAAACCGGCCATCGCTATATGGGATCCGAACCCGGGGCCTTGGTGTTATCAGCACCGCACTCTCCCGAGTGAGCCACGGGCCGGCCCAACTAATTACTTTTTAAAAGAATTTAGATTTATGAAAATAACCACCCCCCAAAATACAGAAATGGATATTCATGCTGATATCTGCAGAGTGGGACCAGCGGTAAAAAAGGGAGATTTTCTACTTTCATTTTTCTGTCTTTTTATTCTATCTAAACATATCATTTTTCCATGCATGTTTGTCTACTTCATAATTTTTAAAAATTGGACCGAACTTAAACTATGTTTACCCCTGCTCACTAAATGTCCATTTCAAGCACTCTCTATGCCATCTGATAGATTCCTTCCTTCTCAACTTCCCACCTCCAAACTTACAAACCTTTTTTTCTCCTACAATAGAGGAAATGTCTGTCTACCTAAGGTTACTCTCTCCACCTATGTGTTGAATCCCAGCCCTTCCTACTTCTTCAGAAATTGTCAGTTACCCTCTTTTTCTTCGGGACCCTCAAACTCTCCTATTTTAGGTCCCCCAACCAGCAGATCCACATGTTCAAGTTATACTCATCTTAAATTCAAAAACTGCCTTGACCCCAGGACCTTCTTCAGCTTCCTCCCTCTCCTCTAAAACAAAATGTCTTCATTTCCTACACCTGAACTCACTCCATCTGTCTACATCACTCCAGCAAAACTGCTTTTGCCAAGCTCACCAACGGTTCCAATCTCCAAATCTAATACCAGCCTTCCTCTTACTTGATTTCTCTACAACTTCTGACACAAGGGACTGCTCTCAAAACATTTTCTTGCTTTGAATTTCAAGACACCATACCTTGTCACTGTAATTTGGCTGACCTGCAATATCATTTTGTGTAGAAGTTTTCCCTTCACCCGGAAGTGTCTCTCAAATGAAGCCATAACCTCGGCCATGACATTGGACTACAGTATTTGCTCTACACAAACCTCTGTATTCCACATTCAGACCTTCAAACCAAGTGTTTCGTTGCTTCCACAATCACATCTAGGAACAGGGGCCATCGCCTTCAGGCTGTTCCATGGGAAAGCCATCTGCAGAAAGGCCAGCTTGCTGCTAGAATTTTTACGGGATTTCTTTAGAGAGATGATATAGCAGCAGTTTCAATGAATGTGCTTCCAGGTAGAGCAGAAACCTTAAGTCTTCTGAAATGAACAGTCACTCGTGGTTTGAAACTCAGTTGGGGTGGGGGGTGGATGTTTCTCAGTTGATCAGGCTTCTAGTGGGGGGTATGGTGGGAGAGAGGCTTAGGTATCATCCTAGCACCGTTTCTATGCTTTCTTCCCTGTGTGAGTGTAATTGTATGATCTCCCAGCACGAGCAGTGCACACTAATCATTTCAGGAGAGCTTGAGGGTCTCTCCTATGGACTTGGCTGGATCTGGATCTCACAGGTCTGATGACTTGAGAAGTAGGCCCTATGAGAGGTGTGTGTTGTGGGAAGAGGATGTGGTATAGTGCTACAAAAGGCCCTCTTTATGCTCATTTCTCTTCTCAAGGCCAACCCATGCTGGATCCCGGCATTATATGGGCTGGTTTTTTCCCAGAGATTCAGGCAGAGCCAAGTCTTTCAGCTCCTAGACCTCCAGATGTAGCTAGCATTTCATATCAGCCAGCACCTCCCTTCCCCCATCTTACTCCCACACTCAGATTTTCCTAATTATCACCTAAGTTCTCCTCTCACCTTTTCTCTCTGAACCTCTCCTCCAGCCCAGATAGGAATTTGTCTCTGTATGGTGGGAAGGCCCTTTTTAAAAATATACGACATTCTTCTCAAATTTGGGGTCCTTGTTCTATGCCATGAATCTATATGCAAAGTCAACTTTTTAAGAATCAAAAAAGAAAAAAAAAGTGTCTTTCTCATCAAGCACCTGGCTTTTGCAAATAAGTACTCCAACCTTCATACTATATTGTTATTATAACTCTAAAAAATTATTTTGAACATCAGGCTCTATTCTCTCTTCAAGAAGTGGAAGGCTACAGGGCAACAAGAAAAAAGTGAGAAAATTCTTGGCTTAAAATTCACAAATATCATCTAGGTATATAATCATAGATTCTATTTGCTACTGCCCCCTTGCCAAAGAATACATGAAAGGAGAAACCAACAAATTTTTCATCTTTAAATAGCCAGATTTCTGCAATCCTTTCACCACTCTAAATTTTCAGCAATTAACTACAGAAAGGAAAAAAGAATAGCAAAACTAGAATCAAAATCCCAAGCTTCAAAATTTTTGTGCTCTGTTTTCATGCAGTTTCTTTTGGCATGGCAGGAAAGCAGGCAATATTATTTCCATATAATAGCTGGACTCTGTCCCAGCATGTATACAAATCGCATGGTTTTTTGTTAATCTTATCCGATTTTATTATGTAAAGTGACCATTTCTTGCTTGATTACTCCAATTCAAGCACTTTTACATCAAAGTCCACAAATATTAAAAGAATTTTTAAAATTTCAATATTTATCACTATTACATATCATTGATTTTTAACTTATTATTAAAATGTACTAATCTTAAGAGTACACATATACCTGGAATTGGAAACCTAACAAGAAGCAAGCTGGCAATAATAGCACTCGGACATGTTGTAACTGGGGACACTACATAAAAAGGAAAAATGCAAAGAAAAAGGCAGCTCTAGGAGGGAGAGGTTTGGGGCGGTAGAAATAACCAGGCACATTTCCACTTTGCCACCGGCTATTCGTCCAGTTGGAGGTAGCACGGTTAATTTAAGGAAATAGTACCGATACAGAATGCTGTAGGTGCAAAGATCTGCTGTTATTGACCAAAAACGAAAGCAAGACGAAGCAGGCATTGCCTGGGTTGAAAGCGGGACCTAAGAACCTGCGGAAACCAAACCGAAGCCCTGCGGGGCGAGAACCAGCCTCAACTACTGCACTCCACACAGCAACACCCAACTGCATTAACCGTTTAACTTTACATTACTATTAACGTTAACAGGCACCCCCACACTTCTAAACGCCCTCTGGGACGGGGACAGCCTCAGGACACTTCGCTTGTCTACATTCAAAACTGCGAGAAGCCTTTTCCTGACACAATCCAAAAAAAGAAAATGGAGGCGAGCATTTGTTTATTTTGGCCCCACTCAAAAACAAGCGGCTCAAGGTCCGCCAGGACGGAGCACATTAGGACTCGGCCCGCCCTGGCCCGACGGCCGGCGCGTCCCGGCTGACTCCCCCGCCTCTACTGGCGGCGCCGCCGCGGGCCCAGGGCGACGGAGCGG